TGGGGGAGGGTGGAGGTGGGGGAGGGGTAAGGGGGTGAGAGGGTGAAGGTCTCTTCATCCCCTTCCCCCCTCCAGCAGGCAGGGCTTGCCTGCAGGGGTGGGGGTCAGGACGGTCCCAGACCTGACCGCCACGCTGTCCCCCAGGTGAGGAGCGCCCTGCAGAGGACGACTGAGAAGGCCGCCGCCGCACTGGTGGTGCCACACCCTGGCCCGAGCAGCACCGACGCCCGCTCCTTTCAGACCCGCTGCAGCCCTGCAGGCCAGGGGAACAGTCCACGGCCCCCAACTCCCTGGGAGGCGGCCCAGGACGGCCCCGTAGCCTTGGTTCCACCCCGAAGACTCGTGGCTCTCAGAGGTATGGTCTCACCACCCTCCAATCTGAGTGCTGCCCAGTGCCTCAGTTTCCCCAATGCTCTGGCAGATCCTATTATCCCATCTGAAAGACAAGGAATCCAGGCCCCGGAAATTGCAAACCTGGTGCTTGGGGAATTGCTTAGAAATAGCTTGGCACCCTGCCTCCAGCTACCACCACCAGGAAACAGGGTCCCCTGCCCAGTCCCCAGGTGGGGCTTGCCCAAGGTGACTTTCCCTGGGTCTCCATGCAGAGCAGATTGGGGGATTCCTGAAGACAGGTGAGTGTCTGGGGTTCAGGACCCGAGTCATGGGTTGAGTGACTTCAAGGCCAGACCAGGGGTTCTGATTCTAGCTCCCACCTTATCCCCTCTGTGCCCTTGGGTAAGTTACCTCCTCTCTCTGGGCCTTAATTTCCTCATCACTAATCTGTTGGATAACCTTTGAGTGGACTCAGGATATTTGATAATGAGGTCCCCACCCAGGGTGGGGAAGTGGACAAGGGCTTCCTGCCTCAGTCTTCCAAAAGTTCACCGACTTGAGCGTTTTTTCCTCCTAGGGACCCATGGCCCCAGAATCCCCACAGCCTTCTCCTCCATTGCAGAAACCGAGAGACCGGTGAGGCTGGGACAGGCGGGCCCCACGGTGCTCTGCCAAGGGGTTAGCAAGTATGGCAGGCAGGGCTGGGGAGGCCACAAGAACCAGGGTAGGCTGGGCAGGGCTGGGGCTTCCCCTGGGGATCTGTCCCTCAGTTAAGGGGATGAAGGGTGCTGGGAGTTGCTGGGAGCTGCTGGCAGAACCTGAATGCCAAGGCCACTGGGGGTGGAGGGAGTCATCAGCAAGTAGCCAAGGCCCCCAGGGCAAAGGGGGACAGAAGGAGTGGGGCTCACGCCCGTGACAGCGCCTCTGTCCTCTGTCCTCAGGCTGTGGAGCTGACAGCATTCAAGGCTTCAGGTACAGCTCCCACCTCAGGGGGGTCCCCCTTTTTCCCTTTGGACTTGAACCCCCCTCAGCCCCACTCTACCCGGATGGAAGTGATTTGAGAAGCAACCACACCTGACCTCCCACACCCTTTACCCCCTGCTGGTGCCTAAGGTCCTCCATTAGCACCCTGTGGCTGGTCAGTGACAGGCAGCGTTCCTTAGGAGGGCTCAGTTAGGGAAAAAGTTGATGGAACCCTCTCCAGAGCCGGTGCTGCCTGGAAAGGCAGTGAAGAAGCCTCTTTCTCTGTCCACCACTCTCTGCCCCCCAAGCCCATCCTCCCCGCCTCCCCCGAGGGCCCCTGTCGTGATGTCTTGTGATCTGAGAGGCCTGCTAACTTGGCAAGGACCAAGTCATTTCCTCCAAGACCTCAGTTTCTCCAGCTGGCCAGCTGATGGGGCTATGACAGGGAGGGCCTGTGGGCAGTTGCGCAAGGCAAGGGACACCTGGGCCCTGCTCAGGGAGAGGACTGAGGCCCGGGGAGCTCAGCCTGGCCTGAGGGGAGCCGTGGGGCCCCTGCTTGCTGTCATCGTCTATGAGCTCGAGTTCCCACGATCTTAAACCAGCGTTGCCCAGCCTCAAACCACGTGGTTACTCCCAGACCTGTTACAGAGCTCTTACTGGGGCCAGGCTCCGTGATGATTCTGTCCCAATGACCTGTGGAAATGGTGTGTTATTTTCCTCCCATTGTGCAGATGAGGAAGCTGAGGCACAGAAAGGAGCAGCAACTAGCCAGAGTCAGGGGCAGACCAGAGTCAGGCCCCTGCTCGCACAGATGGGGGAACTGAGGCAGAGCAGTAGTCACATGGGTGTGAGCGCAGGCACATTTGAGCCCGGGTCTGTGTGCCCCGGGCTCCCAGCTGGCCTCTGCCTTGGCTGCTGTCTCAAGCCTTTGGAGGCTCACCTTCCCCTTCTGCAAATTGGGCTGGAAGCGCCCCCTGCAGGCCCGTCGGGGGCGCAGGCGCCGCAGGCCTGGGCTGCCCCTCCCCTCCCCTCCCCCACCCCACCGCAGGCGCCCGCATCTGCGGGAACAAGAGAGCGGCGCCTCTGCGCTCAAGTGACAGCGCCTTTGTCTCCGATGAATGGGTGCGTTGCTAGGGCCGCTCATAGCAACGGAGTCGCTTCCACCTCGGTCCCACCCTCCAGACCCCCAACCCTGTGTCCCAGCCCACCGGACACTCTCCGCCTCTGGTCCCCCACCCCAGCCTGCAGCCCACTCAAGTGGCCTGAGCGAGAGGTGCAGGGCAGTGGAGGCCAGCTGCATGTCCCTCGTGGTGCCCGTCACTTCCCCTCCTAAAAGCCCATGGAGCCCTCGGGGCATGCAGGTGGTTTTCGGATGGAGAAACTGAGGCAGACAGCGCATGAGGGAGACTCCTCAGGGTGGCCCAAGCCGGGATTGCCACCAAGGTCTTCCTCCAGCCTCAGTTCCCAGACCCCTCCCCATTTTGGTGGCATGTCCCCATCACGATTCTCTGCCAGCCCAGTCCAAAGGGCTCACTTTCCTCTCAGGTTTCTAGAGAGAGTGAGAGGAGGACTTTCCTCCAAGCCCCGCCCCAACGCAGCTCGGCCTGGGGACCTCATCCCGGGAACCCCAGACCCGTGGACAGGCGCAGCTGGCAGTCCCTGAGAGAGGCCACGCCAGGACCAGCCACCAGCCCCACTCCCCGGGCCCCAGCCTCCCCCTCCTCCCGCTGGGAGCGCAGCCAGCCCTGTGCAGCCACCTCCCCCGTCAGTCCCGTGGCTCTGTCCCCAGCCTTCAGTCTGTCTGGGATCTGTTCCTTCCCCACCTGCCCCGAAGTTCCCATGTGCCCTGCCTTGTCTGTGTAATAAACGTACTTTTGAGGCTCTGCCTGTCCCTCTCTGGGGTCATCCTGGCCTGGAGGGGAGGAGGGGACGCCAGGCTCTCCGGGAGATGGAAGGAGCAGGAGGAGCCCGGCTCTGGCCTCAGCCTCATCCCCGGGGAGCGCAGGCGGCACTGATGGGCACCTCCTGAGTCCCTGGCGGTGGCGAGCCCTTCACCGCCTCAGCCCTGTTGTACAGAGACGGCCTTGATGACTCAGACCTGGGGTCTCCTGGCCGTGCGGTACAGTGGTCAGGGTGGCGGTGGGTGAGCTGCGGCTGCACTGAGGGGGCTGCCTGCGGAGGGAGGATCCCACCCCGGAGTCAGGCTGTGGGCCAGGCCCTGCCACCACCCGTTGTGTGGCCACAGGCAAGATTATTCTGAGTCTCGGTCCCTTTAGTGTTTCAGAGCAAAGGGAGACGATGGGTCTGGTACCAGGGCCTGCCCCTAGGCAGGGGTCAGGAAAAGGAGGGGCCCAGGGGCTGAGACGTGGGGTGCAGAGGCCGTCACCCCACCGTGCTGGGGCCAGATGACATGGGAGAGCTGAGGAGCGTCAGAGCCGGGGAGGTGGGGGTCGTGCAGGTGAGGCACAGGTGGGCAGGGCTGAGTGAGCTGCAGCCCCGAGACGGCCCAGCGAGGCTCCAGCTGCTCCCAGAGTCCTAGAAGTAGCTTCCACTCTGGACCCCGCCTAGGCTGAGTCTGGGACAAAATCTGGGGGTGTTTGACCCACCCACACAAGTACAGGGGTCTGGGCATTTCATTCCGGGGATGGGGGCTATTTAACCTCTTGAAGCCCAGCCTGTCATCTATAGAATGGGGACATCAGGCCCACTTGGCAGGCGACAGAAGGGTCAGCACAGTCTGGTGCCCAGCACATACTAGACACTCAGGAAATGTCAATTGTAGCCAGAGACAGAAGGGGGGACTGTGGGGGCGCAGACCCTGCGGCCAGAGGAGGTGATGTTTAAACCTCGAAGGCACCAGGCTGGGGAGACAGCAGAAAGAGAAGACGGCATGGCATGCCTCCAGTGGAGAGCAGCAGAGCCTCTGCCCTGCCTGGGAAGCCCGGGGTGGGGGTCGGGGGAGGGAAGGCTGGGCCAGGCTGTGTCACTGTCCCCAGCAGGGCGGGGCACACCAGGCTCAGTCCTTAGGCAAAGCCTGATGTCTGCTGCTGAGGGGGGATTGAGGGCTGGAGCCTGAAGGGGCAGCCAGGAGCTGGTGCTGCAGTGGGCAGGGCACTTGGTGGCCCCTACTGGCATTTTCAGGGTCCTCTGACTCCTTCCCTTCTCTTCAGAGGGCTCCTGTCTCCCCCGAAACCAATCATATGGGCTGGTGGGGGAGGGGCCAGAGGTGGAGACCGAGGCGTCCTTCCCGTCTCCCTCCCCCTGTCCCGTACCTTCCTCCTCACACACATTCTCTTAACTCTCCAGCCAAAATGACGTGGGTCCCCAGACACTCCTAGCTGACATCCTTGCATCTCTGCTCACACTGTTCCCTCTGTCTGGACCGGCTCACAATTCCTGGGCATCCTTCAAAACCCAATTTGGACAACACCTCTGCTTTGAAACCTTCCTGTCCCTCCCCCTGCCCCCAGCAGAATCAATCATTTCCTCATCTTCTCTGGCTCAGTTCCGTGATGTATCTCATCGGATTATAATCCAATAAAGACAGTCTCCTCCTGAAAGATTGCACATTGCCCAGGGGCAGGAACTAGAGTGCCTGCTTCGTTTCTGCAGGTGTCAAGAGAGACACCTTCTTCTCTGCATAAAAGTCACTGCCAACCTGTGTGCCTAGGGCTACATTGCTCAGGGCGGGGGGGCAGGATGATGGAGGTTTGCACCATGGCTGCGCCCCTTCTCAGCTGTGTCGCCTTAGACAAGCCACTTCACCCCTCTGGGCCTCAGTTTCCTCCTCTGTAACCTGGGGCTGCCACCTGCAGAAGTGGCTGTGAAGGACACACGGGACAACAGGAGGAGGCAGGTGAAGCTGGGCACAGTCCCTGGACCCCGGGATGCGTCCTCGGATGTCAGCTGTGCTCACTGCTGCCACCAAGTGGGGGGTGGGGGAGGCAAGGACTCAGCGAGGGATGTGACAGAGAGGAAAGGGCCAGTGCTCTGAAGTTGCGTGGACCCAGGTTTGGACCTGAGGGAACCTCGGCAGGTGGCTTCCCCTCCTGGAGTATACCTCTGCTTCACAGGGCTACTGGATGGGCAGCAAGATGAGGGACGGTACACAGTAGGTGCTCGTTAAATGATTGCTCCCTTCTGCTCAAGATGGGAGTTGAGCTGGCATGGCCAGGGCAGAACTGAGGCTGAGACCCCGGAAGGCCATGGCATCTCCCAGGATCCCAGGGATGAGGTGGGGCCCAAACCCCAGCAGCGCCTGGTGCCCCCAGACCCCCCCCC